GCCTTCTCAACTCTTAAGAGAATGGGCGAAACAGAGTACCTCAATTCTCTTATCTATCCAGCAGAGGAGCTCTGCATATGTTCAAAGACCCTTCGAAGATAATGGAAGACAATAGTTGTCAAATCCTCACCAATGGTGATCAGTGCTACTGAGAGTAGATTGTCTGCTTCATTTCCCAACGAAATGCCAATCGAAAGCGGAAGTGATGCGAACCTACTTGGATGTGACAACTAAGTGAAAGAAGAGTCAATGAGCAAATGTTGTGGAGGAAGGACCCAAAATTTCAGAAGTTTGCGAGACGATGCTCGTTAAAGCTCTAACAAGCATCCACCCAATTCAAGCAGCATGAGGAATTTGAGAGACTGGCGCAGTAAGGATGGTCTTTTCCTTCATCTGGGGGATCCGCAGGAATCAACAATGATCAACACAACTCAGCCAACCCCACACCAGAGTCAGAGTGATTGGTGAGTTGCAGCAGCATAGCGGATCAAAAGGTTCGACTACTCAAAAACAGCAGCGGAGAGCAGTTGGGAGCCAAGAGGCGCATTGTAGCTGGAGCAAAAGATTGAAGACTCAGCAAAGGCGAGGAGTTGCAGTGTCGACAAAGGCTTCAACGAGGACGTCGAAGGAATAAGTGGGGGAGAATGTCACGGACAAACTTTGAAACAGGGTGTTTGATGTAATGCTTATGTATGTCCGTGTCTTTTGGCATGTTCATGCCTTGTACAGCATGTAGAGGGGCGGCCGAAGGCTTAATAGTCCCATTTTAGTTGGGTTGGTGGCCTCTTTAGGCTTGTAAATAAAGGTTGTGTCATGTGGACACGTGCGAGAGATTCTCGGTCTGTAATGGACCATTTTACCCTTTGTTGTGCCACTGTTCAGAGCTTGTAAAGTCTGTTTGTAATTTGCATTGTCTATGAAGTGTTTTTCGAATATGTTTGCTTGTGGATCCCGATTGAGGCGTTCTCTCTAGCCCGTTCTCTCTTTTTGTTGGTCCTAAGGGACAATGGGAGTCTTCGGGGAGGCTGACCTTTGCGGACGGACACGCAAGGGTGCCGCACGACTTAGGCAAATCCAGCTAAGTCCGTGACAATAGGGTAGAATAAGGAGAGGTAACACAATAAGAAAATACAATCCAGAAAGGCAAACTGAAAATGATGCGACATTGGTACAAAAGCAAACAAGGGCGTGCGCCCAACTTGCAACTTATTAATTTTATGTACCCCAGAAGTTGAACCGCAATAAGGGTGGTTTGAGTCGGTGTTGCAGTGTCGCAAACAAAGTATAGATTTTGCTACACATTTCATGGCATGATATGTCTGATGAATTTGCATTCGTCAAGAAACTAGTTTCTACTTATCACCAATGCCATTGTTGATACCAATTCTAATATTTTGAGCCAGAAAAGCCAATTGTTGTAAACATTAATACAAAAACGAGGCAATCCTATGATTGTCAAGAATACTAAGGGGAAGTTAATACCAAGAATAGGATGGACGAATGAATGTTGGATGAAAGGGGTAAAAGAGGCACCTTTGGGCATAACTTTCCCCAATACTTCCCGGGCTTGCCATTACCACACCGAATACCTTGTTCCTCCAACTTTGATTTCAAATAGTCGATCCGCTTGTGGACCTCAGGGCGGACTGCTGGCAGTGCAAGTTCAACCGGTAGCATCAAGCGAACCATTAGAATGCAATAGAATCATCTTACAGAGCCAGAGACGCAAGAACCGAGAGAAGCCATGTACCAGAACGAAAAAAAGATTCGACCATAGAGATTCATACCAGCATTCCGAGGCACGAGTGGACGGTAGGAATAAGAACAAAAACCAGAGGATTTCTGACAAAAAGGGAGATTCTTGGAGACGGGACGCCGTGGGTTTGCAGAGCAGAGGTGGACGCAGAGACGGAGAAGGCGATGAGGGAGGAAAGGTGCAGGTGCGGGTGCCGAGGCGGAGCATCGCACGGGGAGGCACTCGAACCCGTCCATGAGGAGGGTTCGTAGAGAGCGGCAGGCGACTGAGGAGGGCATTACGCCAACGACAAGCCCTCGGCTCTCGTCGTCTAGTCAGAGGCCGAAGAAGGTTTCGGGAGACAGTAGTAGGGCCGGGTTTAATTAGGGTTTTCTCTCCAGGGTCCGTGGGCATGTTAGCGGGTCGGATCGAATCCGAATCCAACAGGATATCAATCCGGTCCCATAAGCGTGCATACAAGCGGTTGTCTGCGACTCGAATCCTCATGAAAGCCGTTGCGAGAAGAAACTGTAATAACTGCAGATTGATTTCGCATGTGCAGAAGGATAATTAAAATAAATGAAAACATTAAAATAATAATAATAAATGATATTTCATATTCTATTTGGTTGCACATATGACTGACTACTCATGCATGAGACGACAAAGAGGAAAAGGGATAAAAGAGTTGACTGCATTTGCTTTCGACCGATGGATGTGCATTATCCAACATTGAGATTAGGGTTTTGAGCTTCTATCAACTCCCATATGATCTCATGCCCAGTGCAGTGCAGTGCCAACAGCACACACCAACCTGTGTTCGCAAGTCAAAGCTCTTAGGTTTAGATAGAGTTCCTCCTCCTAATCAATCGATAGGCTCCTAAAATATGGCACAGCTCGAAACCCTGCACGCAGTCGGCTTCACCTATTGGATTCTGATAGTAGATAACTTGAATCAATGTTCTAAGTTCATGCATGTAACCTCTTTGGCAGCATCGCCATGTGTTCTTCTTCTTCACGCAAGGTTCGACAGCCATCGAGTTCATAATGATGCTCGACACTTGTCTGAAAGCTACGCCGTATGGGGTAGCCATGCTAGCAGACTTAAAAATGGCAGTCTGCAGAATGGGCAATTCGTCTCAACCTATCAATCAGCCTCATGTTTACACCACGATTTCAACGATGCAGCATTTACACAAACCATGGAATTAATTCTGCATCACATACCATTGACCTGAGTCGTCCACTTGGATGACCATATCTCTCTCCACTTTTAATATGTTGATGCTAACAAGTCTCGATGACCACTGTCGCCAACACCGCCTATACGACCCGGTCAAAGATATTAATCGTCCATGGAGGTAGACATGGCGGTACCTCCATGCATCAGAATTGCTTTTTCTTCCTTGTTTCAAGGTGAAAGGAGAACGGATAGGTATTGCCTCCACTCCAATGTCCATGTTCAACCAAAGTGTGAGTGGTGAATCTTATCCAAATCGCAACAAAATTAATGCATCCCATGAGTTTCTTCCCTCTGGGCCATGAATTTAATTTGTGGAGGAGTTTTTTGCCTTTCTTTTCTTCGATTCGAACTACCTTTCGTAGGGAATTGTTTTTTTTTTTAATGATATGATCTGATGTAACCCAGAAACAAAAACAAAAAACAACGACTTCCAGAGCTGTCATACGACAGTAGCAGTGCAGTGAGCACGCACCAGCACCACGAGCCTGGATTCCCGTGTTTTTTCCGAACAGGGAACTCGTTTGTGCCCGCATTGCTGGCCCGGACGGCTGCCATATCGGTGACCTGGGTAGACGGAGTGGCGGCCGTTCGCTGTCTCGCCGCGACCCACCATGCACGTGGTGGACGACGCTCGTCTCCTCCTCCTCCTCCTCGACGCATCACATCGGCGTCAAATCCAGCGGACTGTCGTCTGATGCAGTGCCAAACGACACTGAAACGGCAAAAGTGAGGGGGAGCAGAAGCAGGAGCAGGGATCTACTTGTTTCCGCTCACCGTCTTTTTCCTGGGACAGAAGAGTGTTGATAGGACTAGTTGTCAGCTGCAGCATCAGATTCTCAGGTTCACCTCCGGTGGTCTTGGCTTGATTTGATCTCTCCCGACTGGTCTTACTATAAGTGGAAAGGAAAATAGTGGGTCATATCCAAGCCCAGCAGGTCTGTGTGTTGTGTAATGTAAGGCTCGACCGAGTGCTTAATCCTCAAGGACATGGTTGTCTACCAGTTTTATGTACAAGGTGTTGGTTTTGATGCTTGCATGGGAGGATCAAGAAGGATTTCAGTTGGTTTGGTGTACACGGTGATGCCTCCATATGTTGTCTTGATGAACGCCATCGACGAAGTACCATATAGAAGAATGTTCTACCCTGCTTCTTAATGGTGTTCACGGACCACCATTGTAGGGTGAGATGGACCACATTGACTTTCTAATCCAGTGTCTATCGACACTGAATCTCCAACCTCATGCTATATCTTATTGGTTAATCTAATGGTCCGGTAAGTTGTCATTATAAGGAGGAACACCATGGAGATGTCGAACGATTGCTTAAACCAGCAGCTGAGCTGATGACCAGTGACCACTAAAATGTTCACCATCATGTGTGTCCCAAGAGACAAACAAAAATCATGTGTTTCTTGCAGCCAGTACTCACACGACACGCTCGGGAGCTGATCATTACAATATCATGTGGAAACAAATTACGATCTTTGGCTAAACATTCCTGTGAACCATTCCTTCGAAGAATTCAATTCCTGTCATGCATGCGACTCAGGCAACGAAGCATTTGGCAAAATTTCCAGGGCTCACTCGAATCACAAAAACAACGAGATCTAAACACCAGCCTTACCAACCCTAAGCTCTGAAACCAAAAACAATTATCATCAAAAGACTTCAAACACGAAGACCTAATCATCATCATCATCATCATCATCATCAGCCACAAGCATAGTTATAAGAAGAGGGTATACATACAGAGAGCCAGGTCAATGTCTGTTAACGTGGAGAACGTCCACCATTATGTCCGCTAACGAAACAGCATAGGAAACGATCTTTCCAACCATCACATCAGAAAGTAATTCCAGTCGACAAACTACTACAGTACTATGTTTAATCACCGAGAGTGGTGACAGGCTGCCACCGGAATGTGCGTCGACGACAGCCATCACCGCCGCATCGTCTCCGCCGGTATCCAGGGTGGCAGCATCAGATGCCCGTGAAGGCGATGTGGGTATGCACTGCTGGCGATGAAGTCGGCCGCCGACCGACCATGGCCGATGAGAGGAGCTGCTGTCGCCGCCGCTGGAACCGGCGCCTGCGGGCTGAAGCCCTGTTGCGACGGAGGAGGCCGCTTTCTCTTCTTTTTCTCGTAGGCGATCCCCCTCGCTTTGGCCTGGCTGTCCCTCACCTCCCTGAGGTACAGCCGGACTGCGCGCGCCGCGAAGGGGTTGACCTCCGGCTGGCCGCCATCCTCCTCGAAGGCGGCGCGAAGGCGGCCGACGAGTGAGTCGAGGCTGCCCCAAGCTTGCCTGAGGGGGCACGTGCACGGTGCCGGGGGCTGCGGGTGGCCGAAGAAGGGGCACCCGGCGGTGTGGACTTTTGTCTTGCCAAACTGGTCTAGGTAGCGGAGGAACTCGAGCACGTGGGCGCCGCTGCACCGGGAGAGCTCGAGCGGCGGGCGGTGGTTCCGGAGGTACTGCCCGAAGGAGTTCCAGTCACGCCGCTTCTGCGACTCGTACCGGCTCGGCCTGCCGCCGCCATCAGGAGCCGCCGAATTGCCCGAGCTATCAGAGGTTGCCGACGACATGCTTCAGAAGCTGAAATCTACTCTTGTGGTCCGAAACAAGCTTTTCTAGATCTCAAAGAAGAACACACACCGCCTAAAAGGACACGAGTATGAAGGGTCAAAACAAAGCTAGATCAAGTGTTCTAGGTCTTCTTTGTTTGGTCAGCCAGAACTTAAGGCTTGCTGTGGTTGCTAACTCGGATAAATCTTTAGTTTCAGAGAAGTAAGGCTACCGAGAAGAAAACCTAAACCTCAGCGGTGGGTCCTCTGGGCTTCTTTCATAGATCTATAGACGGATACTTCTCTGTTTCTTTGCGCAGTAGTAATTAATTGATCTTCCGATGATCCCAGAGGAGAAGGAAACTTTCTTGATAGGTGCAAATCAAAACTGATGTGACGAAAGAGAGATCCGAAAGCTCGTTCGAGCTCTCGGGCCTAGAAAAGGAAACGGCTAGAGACAAAAGCCAGACAAAGATGGTTCGATGAGGATAGGTAGCTCCATGGGAGTCAGGAAGAAGAGGCTGAGGGGAAGTGGGGAGGGCTTATCAGATATAAGCTTGTAGCCATAAAGACACAAGAAAGAGACACAGCCCCTGTATGGTCCCTAACGAAACATGGCATTGAATAAGCTATTCAAAACTTGGACTGATGAGGAAGATGGTAGTAATCGACCGAAACCAGACTACCGTAATACCAAATGGTCAACTTGACGAGCATTTTACGTACTTATAGTTAGCGACGTCTTCCTAATAAACCTTAACATACGCCCTAATATACCTCAATGTGAGGTATGAGAGAGAGAGAGAGAGAGAGAGAGGATGATTCAGTGAAGGAAAAGAATGGGGAACGATGCGTGGAATCAGATCGATCGATGAATGGAGATATACAGAGGGCGGGAGAAAGGTGGGGGAGACAAGTGGCGGGGCCCCCTCCAATGAAGACAGTATGATGGCTTTCTGACGATTCATTTCGCAGCTTGCTCAGGCGGTCTCGTCCTCCCGCTAACCTGGCACCGGTCATTGGCCGTGTGAGTGATCGCCTCGATGTCCTCGGTGCGATCCGTTGATGAAAGCCTCGGCTCTTCCCGACCATGCTTCAGAACGCAATCCCAAGGCAAAATGCACGTTTTCCTCTTATTAACAGGCGTTTAAGGACACCACCAAGTTTCTAGCTTTCTCTGGCAACATGCGATCTTAATTAAGCGGCAAGCATGTTTCAGCATACAAACAGGTATCGACGTTTCTGCTTACAAAAAGCTCTCTAATTTGCCCTTTTCTTCATGCTTACTTGCGCACTTTCCGGCCGGCCTCCACAGTTACAAGACAAGAGCAATCTCTTCCTCGATAAAAACGTGCAGGCCCAGATCGTCTTCATCCTTCTCACCCTCATCATTCAAGGTGGGGGTTCAGCACCATGGCAAGGGATGGACCATCAATGCAGTAGAGTACTTAGACAGCCACGTGTTCTGCAAAAACACCTTTGTCCTTTATTGACTTGTATACCCGCACTGGTTTTGAAATCTTTACACGGCGATCTCAGTAAATGGAAGTGTGTGGACGCCATCAGTACGTGGCTTGATGGCAATCTCGTCATCATCGTGCCATCTACACGCTATCAGCCGATCTTGATGCATGGAAAGAGACAAGAAGGACAAACCCAGTGCACGATCAAAGTTGTCAAGGATTTGAGGTCCAATTTGCTTATCCCCTTGACATTCTGAGCAGTGACTGTTTATAATCTGAAGATTCCAGTGGCAACATAACAAAAACACACGGTATGGTACATTGTTCTCGGTGGATGAAAAGTTGCAATCCCCTTCTTGTTTTTATGAGACTATGGAGGAGCAAGTATTTGATTCAAACAGGTGGCTGTCACCTCCCGAATCGCTTTACACGCATGGAAAGCTTGCAATTTACATGATTGTAAGTTGGATATCTTTCGAACTTGACGGATCTAAAAGGTGTCTTCGTGTTGTCCGTCTTGAAAGAGATGAGCCAGGTAGGAAGTCGATCTTTTCTTCCATGTATCACAGATCCAAGTTGGACTCTGGGCGGTGGGGCTCTGTGCAGTGAGACACCTCTTCCGAACACAAGAAACGCTTCGATGCATATGCCTGCATAAACTCCACGGACTCCAGATTCCGTAGATCACGCGGATCGAGTGTAGTGTCCACCTTAGCATGAATTGATGGGATCCCTGTCTTTTACTGCTTAAATGAAGCACAAGAAAACAAACTCCGTATGGAATGACAGATTTCACAAAGCTAGTGACTGGTAATGAGAAGCAATCCGTGGCAACATTATACCACCGAAAGCATCGACCGAGTTTCAAGTTCAGATTGCCGCATCCTTGGAAGGTTATGGAGTTAATTAATTTGCGATCAAGAACTCCAGCGGCGGTTTCTTCAACCTGGTAATGGGAAAGATTTCATCATGCAGCTCGATGAATGATCTCACAAACTCCACCTTGAGCTGGTGGCATGTTCGTGGAGGAAATTAAGACTATGCCCATCTGACTCGTTCAAGATTTCACGTCACGCCTGCGAAGGTGAAGGAGAACAAACGGGACCCGTCACTCTTACCTTTTTTTTCTCTTCCGCTTGCCTGTTTCCCACTCTCATTCTGTCGGGCGCGGCGGCCACTTGTTCTCTCGGCTTCCATGAACGTCTCCGATACGTCTGTGCGCTACGAACGTAGCGGACCACACACGACGAAGTCGACATAGTCCTGCCAATACATTGCTTCATAGAAGAACAAACTTGGGATACGTACGCACAGAACGAGTGGTGGTACGTATTTATTCATGCAACCAGTTTTCATTACATTTGATATCTAAAACTTCAATAGGACCTTAGAAGACTTAGAAACACGGGAAAAAGAAAAGGAAAATTATTGGACTGATCCATCGCTGATGTGGTACAAGTTTCCTTCTTGGAACTTGCCCTGCTTCGTTGGGCCTTTTCCTAATATTAGGCAAGCTGAGTATATATTAAAGTGCAACGAGGATGGGCTTTGAGCTTCTCCAACACGGACTCAATCATCAGCCTCTAACACATCAAAATCTCTCTCCTCTCGCCTCTCCTTTTTGTTCGATGATTCTATATATACATAGAGATCGAGTAGCGGATGCGTTTGAGAACTTTTTGGAGAATGATGGCAGGGACGATGGAGGACACTAAAAGAAGCATTTCGAACTGTAAAAACTTGTGAGGTCCCCATCGGTTTCCACTTCTCAGATGCTGCTGGACTTTGCAAACGTTTCTGACAAAGAGTTACAGGTCTCGAAGGTGCAACATTAACGATTCTGTAGAACGCTCCGTTCTGATCTGATGTAATCTAAGATCAGTAGAACCAAATGGTGAACGATGGATGGTGTTCGATAAGAAATCGATCATGACAATAAGATCTGGAAAGAGGAGGTGATATGAAACATCATTAATGTTTCGTCCTAAAAGTGGATGCCTTTTTCACCTGCGATTGCTTAGAGAAACATATGTTTGCTTTTGGCCGGCCCCCTCCGAGCGCCTCATCCTTTACACTAAAGTAGCACCGCTGCTTCTTTTGCCATTGCCACCACCTCATCGAAAGTATGGATCAAAATTGACCCCAGCAAGAGTTCATCCGAGCAGTTCTTGCTGATCGACTCGTCTTGTTAACTCTTTCATCTGCCTCCCAACTCTCCTTCGACGTACGTCTCCTGTTCTCATCTCAGCGAATTCAAATCCCAGATACTGCCTCCGCCACCCGAAGGACTCGCGGACACCGCAAGCAGGAGGATGACGCACAGGTGGAGGCACCGATTCAACTCCTCCGTACACGACGGGGGTCACAGTGGGAGATCGTGTGCTTTCTTGTTCCATTTCGTTCCTTCTATTCCACAGAGCGGGTCTGTCGATCCAAACCCGTTTAGATCACCGCGTGCAGCGTAGAATGTGTATACATGGGCTTGGATAACATTGTATATACGTATATGTAATAAGGATATCCGCTATTTAGTAATTATATAAGTAATTTTCAATACTATAATAAATGATATTATATTATTAATAATGAAACGTATAAATGCAGAGGGAGAAATCATAGCTAATGCCTTCATGGATTAGAGTGATCATCCATAGGGAGCCAAAATCCTGTCCGTCCATAGGAATCATGCGGATGACTTTTGTCGTGGGACCTACGAAACCCAAACAAAAACACACACCCCAAAAATAAATCCCTCACCCCAAAAGCCAAATAAATAAGTAAATAATTATTTTTGATAAAAAAATCAACCTCTATTTATCACTTTCCAGAAAGATGCGGCCCCCACTTCCATCCCCTCCGCAACACCACCTGATCTCGGCTCCCCATCGGATCCCGCAACAAGTGTCGTCACGTGATTGGTGGAGAGACAAGGTGTGTGGTGGATTCCAAGTCATTGCTCTAAAAGCCACCTCAACCAGCAAGAGCATAATCATAATACTACAATTATATTTCCCTTTCTACCCTCTGCTCTCCCTATTTTCTACGATCCATCTCTGGCTGTTTCGTCGAGGATCGTAGAGTTACACCCAGCGAAGGATAGAGAGAGAGAGAGAGAGAGAGAGAGAGAGAGAGAGCTGAAGAAAGGAAGCGTAAAAACCCAACGCTCCAATAAAAGTCTCTCTCCCCTTCGCCTTCGCTCATTTTTATATTTCTTTTAGAGTTTTAGGTGCTCCTTCGATTTTTTTTCATCTTTCCGGTGGAGTTCTTTTCTAGCACCGACTCTTGGAAACTACTAGCGGGGGGGCATCAAAATTTGGATCCTTCTTTCTAGCAGATCTCAGCTCTGGCCAGAAAACCCTAGGGCGGATTCGGATTTACGGTTCTTGCTCCCTTTTCCTTGTCTTTGTTGTCGCGATTTCAGATACTAGGGTTTTTATCTATGGCGGCGGCGATGGATGGGGAGGGTGGCGGCTTGCAGGACCCAGGCGTCGGTGATGGGTTCGGAGGACAGGATGACGGGGTTGCAGGTGAGATCTTTCTCTTCTTTTTTCTTCTGTCTTCGAATTTAGGTCTTTTTCTGGTGCTGCGGATTTGTTTTTGTGGGTTGATTTGGTGGAAGGATTGGATCTTGAGGACGGAGTCGTTCGGTAGGACTGGATTAAAAGGGATGTGGGAAGCCGCTTCTTCGTTGAGTTTTTTGCCGGATCTTTTGCCTCAGGTGACCGGCTTCGGAGTGGCGGATCCATCTCTTTTTTAATGTCAAAATCACGAACTTCTTCTCTTATTCTTATCAAAAATAGATGCATAAATGATCTTTTTTCTCTCCGGATGCTGACTCCTGTTTCATTTTGTTTTTATGGTATTTGCTTTCTGATATTGTTGGTGTGATTTTTTGTGGCTTGCACGGTCTCGAATTTAGAATCGAGCAGCTATCGAAATACTGGACACCGCGTCATGAAAACCTGACTTTTTGTATAGAGTAAATAAAGGAGGCCAATTGTCTAAATTTAGAATATTTAGTTATGAGTAGGCTCGGGATGTTTCAGGCAAGCTATACGTGAAGCAGTTCTCCTGTACTTTTAAGGATCTGATTGGCTTTCTATTTCGCCGTAGCCAATGCATCTATATACTTTATTCCTGACTCCTACGAGTTGAATACGATGCTAATCTTAGCAGCTACAAAATACTATAGTACTGAATCTGGTCTACTTGAAATGTTTTCTTTTTCATCTTGTGACTTCATCGTTTTATGCTTATTCAACATGCAGATAGAGCTCAGTTTGATGCTTCACAATATGCATTTTTCGGAAATAGTGTCATGGAGGAAGTTGAGTTAGGGGGATTAGAAGGTGACGGTGGTGGTGCCGATCGCAGCTTTGTTGGGATTGATGATGAGGATTATCAATTTTCTCTCCTTGGGGATAGAGTAGAAGTAAGTTTCTTCAACATGAATACTGTATCTTGATTTTTTTTATTTATTTTTCCTTCAAAAAATTACTGTTGACATAATACACATCCTAATTATGCTTCCTAGTTTAACTTAATTTGGTTTAGAACAAATTTTTCGGGTTGATATTTACTATTTTTCAGATACAATGTCTGTTCTATTGTGTCTGGTAGCTTCCCCTTCTATTTACGCCATCTTATTTGACTCACTTGACACCAATCTTAGTTCCTCTGTTATGATGATGTTTTGAGATTGATGTTTCTGATGTTTATGCGTTCAAGCCTACTGCTCTTTCAACAGTATTGAGCTCTATAATACCATAATAGCTTATCTTTATCATGTGAAGATTGGATACAGCATGCCCAGTGTCGACTAAGATTTATTATATATGTCAGTTAGTACCATCACAATTAGCATCACTTTCTTGTTTCTAGTGCTGTTCCCTCTTGACCTTTAATATCTGTGAAGCAACTATCCATCTTTCCAATCTAGTTATATGTGGTTAATGTTCTTGCCTTCGGATATGCACAAATATGCTTTTTACCATATATCACTGGTACAGATGACACTGATATTGTTCATGAGTGTGTCACCTATAGTGTTGGTTCATTTGAGGACATTTTTTGCTCTGGCAATTAGAATAGAAGTGATTTATTGAGGCCATAATTTTAATGAAAATCTATTGATTTGCAGGAGGAAGATCTTAGTGCCACATCTGATATTTATGAGCTTGCCAGTACCTTTTCCAAGGTTAGTTCTTTCTTTCTTTTTCATATTTTATTTCTTATGTGAATAGATGCTTTTCCAGCAAGATGTTTTGAATTATCCTTCAGGCTCTTTAGTCTCTACGGAATTGTTTGTTATAGTAAAGTCCTGCAGGCCGGTGAACTATTGGGTTTTTTAATGATTGGAAAATTACATGAAGCTCTGAAACTGTGTAGTGACCTCAAGACCTATTTATCATGTTAATCATGTTACTTTTAAGTATCATAATGAAACATGGGCATCAATTTGTTGATCTGCCTTGATGCGTACGCCTCTCTATCTTAAAATAATTTATTCTTTTTTAAATTTATAACTTTAAATGAGGTCAATTTATGACAACCGATGATTTCTTGACAATAATGACAGTAGCAATAAGCGAAAATAATCAGCTGTCTTGGTGAATTTGATAAAGTTCCAATATGAATCACATGGCCATCACATTTAAGTTTAAAGCAGGCACTGGCTTCCTGCCATATAATTGGCAAATGTACTGCTGCATGGATTTATAATGTTATCTTCCAATATTTCACATTCTTGTCAGACATAATAGGATTGGTTATCTGGTATATTATATAGTATCTTCAAAATTTGCATCCATATTGGTGTTTTGTTATCTTCGTTTTCTCTGTGCTGTTAAATGCTTGGGTATGCACCCATATCTGATTCGAATGAGTGGTCCGTGCTTATGCAACTCTTGGAAAATGAAAATCAATGAACTGAAAATAGTATATTATTCGGCATGGTCTGATGCTTTTAACTTGCCTTAATATTGTTTTAAGCTGGATTTTGTTGGAATTATGACTAATTGAGAACTACTTAAAAAGATTTCTCCCCCACAGCATCTTTTTGTAACTTGTTTTTTAAAATTAACACCCGTAGGTCATGCCAAATGAACATAGTTTAATCTATGCTATAGAATCAATAATTCCAACTAATGGCTTCTTAGATATTGCTTCACCTAAAAGTTTTAATTTTCTCCACATGGATTGTGGTTCATGAGTATTCCGAATTTGTTGAGGGCAGATATGCTTGATGTTTTGATTGGATGTGACCTTTACACTTGGTACTCAATCTTATGCCTTACATGAATAAGAATATGTTATTATAATTCCTCTCCAATCAATAGAAGGAGAGGCCAATTTTCTTTTTTCTTTTTCTTTTTTTTGCATGTAATTGTTATGACTGAAATGCCAAACCCTGTGGATGTTTGCTATAACAATCTCTGGTTGTTAAAGGAATCTCAAGCATGTAATCTTTGTAGCTTTATTGATTATCATGCTTGGTTGACACAATCTTATATTATATTTTGGAAAATGTAGGAGTGGCAATGAAGCTTACTAATTGGGCTTTAATGCATAAATCCCACTGACAAAGACACTGGACATCATGCCTTGGCCTTGCCTTTTTTTTTCAGTGTTTCCTGCAATTGATTTCATTTATAACAACCTGCAATCATTATTGAAAAGACAGTAGGAATGTGATCCACAGTGTTGTAACTTGAAAGATTTTGCCATCCAAGGCAGGAAGTATGAACATGTATTCAACACAATTTGTAAAATTAATTTTCCTTGCCTTCTTTTTTCTTTAGTTTAAACCGTGAGAACAACCTCTTTGTCTGTATGTTTTGCATAGAAGCTGATGCTTTTATGAGCATTAAAGACATATTATTCAAATGAGCAACAGTGCATGTACTGCCGATCCAGTTGCGTTTCCATGGAGGCATCTCGTTGTAACTTTTATATTGGTTGGATATGACGAGGTATTGTGATTGTTAGTTAAGGAACCTATGCATTATAGGTAAGCATTCATATATTCGCTCATATATCTTTGTCTTGTAAACATGAATTTGACTGATGTCTATGACTGGTAAATATTGGTCTTGCAAAATTGTCTTGTAACTTCCTTTTTGATCTTGTGTCGAGTACCTTATAGATAGCAGATATGGCATGTTTATGTTGTCCATGACTCAGTAATATTGAATTGTTTGATTTGATGTCCAATGAGGAACGTGCATTTTGCTCCAACCATTATTTTTGCAAATGCAACTGTTTAAGAATTAGTAGCCTATAATGATGATACTCCTAAACATTTTTTCGTTTCCAATTTTCAGTAGTTAATCACTTTGTTTTCAGAAAATATATATTATTTCCAATTCTCAATAGGAAATCACTTTGTTTACAGAAAATATGTTCACTGTTCCATATGAACCTAAGTGATCTAATTGGGCTATCATATAGCTGCAACTGTTTAATCTGGCAAATTATTTGTCAAAATCTCACATGTGAATGGTTTATGCGGCAACAAAAATATTGCTGATCATACTTTGTTCTTTCCTTCAGTTGAACAAGGGTACTGTTGAACCATGGAGCACAGGAGTAATTGGTGAAAGGGGTTCTTTTTCTAGGGAAAGTGAGTAATGTTATTTTATTATAGTCACTTTTATGGATTTTTTTTCTCTTTCATGCATTTAATATAAATGTTTTTGTTGGTTGTATTCATTGCAAGGTGGTGCGCTTTTATTATTAATTGAATCAGATAGTTTTGATGTTTGAAGGTTATTTCATTTTTCTTTGCAAAAATATTCACGGAGGAGAATTTTAGATATAGTTGTGTGGCATATTTTGTTGGGACATAGAATGTCAAAGGTTAAGTTCATTGATGAATTTTAACTACTTTTAGAATCGATACATAATTGATATGTTTGCAAACTGCTTCTTAAAGAATAGACAACTCTGTTGATTATGTATGTAAACTGTTGTCCAGATCTAATTCGGTATGACAATTTTCAAAATTTTGAACAATAGCATAATGGATGTTATACTTGGTACAGTATGACTATATTCTGTTGTGCTACCTCTTTCCTTCGTGAGAGGTATCTTCCATAGTTGCATCAATTACCATGGAGCTTGCCTGTCTGATTATCTGTCACCTAATTAGTCTTTTTTTTTTAGTTGTATATTGTTTCATAAACTACAAATTTGCAAGGGTAACAACAATGCTTCCATTTCTGATGCCAGTTAACTCTAGCAAAGAATATTAATTTTATGAAGCTAAATGTACATTAATACACCGAGTTTGTTGCAGAGCATCATAAGTTGTGAATAATGATCATAGTAATTCATATAAACATCCATCATGGATATGCTTTAAACTTTGCAAATGATACATTACAAGAAATCTGTTCTTAAGGATAAGATTATTTCAGATTCAAATATTGTTCAGTATTCAAAGAAACGATTACAGCTAGCTCCCCATCCAGCAAAGCTGAAAATGTGAGGATGGTCATGAACGAAAACAGAATCCTGCATCCAATTAACCCTATGCATCCTTGCAAAGTTTGTCCAACCAATATATGGACCTCTTATCTTCTTCATAGACACAATTTTACACTATAATCTTTTGAAAAAGCTAGTAAAATAAAATGTCATTGATGACATGGGTGAGCCTAGAATGGGCATTCTTGACTAGTGACCTTAGAAGTTTTGTTGGCATCTTTGATGCAATTGCACAATCCTTCATATTGCTATCAAACAGTAATAGCTGATCTTGGATGGTATTTCTGTATTTCTATTGCTTCTTTCCCATCTTGTCTTGGATATGATGAAGGGTTTATTTTTCACAGTGGTGCAGTTGCATCAGTGAAACATACTGTAGATTCTGTTTGTACTGCCATGAATAAAATTGGTGTAACTGTGTTTATGAGGCATACCACTGTGTGCTGGTGCTTTGTGCTAGGGTGTTATCTATGAGTCATCTCTTGAGATTTAAAATATTAGGTTATTGCATTTAGGTTATAAGACACTAAATTGTTTTTACGTGAGGTCCCCTGCTTTTGGAGATGTTCTTCAATACTTTCCTGGATAGATTTCAGATAGATTTTTGGATCTTTAGCCTGCGGAAGGAGTTCCATCTATTCCCTTGTTTTTTTCTTTCAATATTTTGGGCTTATTTGTGGTCCAATTTTTCATTTATAGTTCTGGAAATGACCCTACAGAAATCTAATTAATGTATTGTGAATATCATCTAATTTACATGCTTGAATGATCGCTTCTAGTTTATTCAGAGTGATGTTTCCTTTGCCAGTCTTTGCCTTTCTTATGACCGCCTTTTGTTCATATGAAGCTAAATTCTTGATTCACTTTGTATTGTGGTTAAAATTGTTCCATTCTCTTGTTAGGATCTCCATGTGTCAATTTAATCTTTAATGAATTTGATTTTGTGTATTATTTGATCCATTTGACAACAAGCCTGGTTAGTTAAACCTCTTTCATGGAGATGTTTTCTTTTTAGGTTCATCAACTGCAGAATGGACACAAGAAACAGAGTTTTCAAATTGGCAAGATCAGCATATACGAGAGACTGAAAGTGTCCAGGATGGTAAAAGGTGGTGGTCACATCCACATCCGCAAGCAGGTCAATTTGCAGATTCCAGACCACTATACAGAACATCTTCCTCTCCTCAACAGCAACCTCAGTACCAATCTAGCGAACCAATCCATGTACCAAAATCTTCTCATATGTCCTTCCCTTCACATGTTGCAGCCTCACAGTTTCCCACAAATCACACACATCATGGAATCGCCTCTTCTCCTACTTATGGCCTCCAGGTGCCTTGTTCTCCGCCAAATCCCTACCCTTTCTCCCAAATTCGTCCACCAGCAGCACACGGATCACATTATGATGTAAACATGTCTCAGTTTGGCCCACCAGGACTCTCAAGTAATAGCAGGCAACAGAATCATTGGTCAGAACGACCTAGTCTCCTTTCATGGGACAATCCAAATATGATATCTGATGTGACCCAGCGTCAGAGGCCTCATGTAAACAATCCAATTCCTTCTCAACTGCTGACACAACAGCCGCAACATGGAATTCACCAACTTTTGCCTTCAATTTCACGATTCCCCCACATGCCGCCTCAGCAGTTCCACCCTGGTCATTCCCCACCACAGATGATAAATAGGTTTGAAGCTGTGCTTGGGATGGCTGATTTCAGAGACCAGAGATCGAGACCAATTTACAGAGGGAGACAGAACTTTGGGCTTCCTCAACAGTATTCTGATGTTGGCAACCAGAAGTACAATGGGTGGTCACGGTTCCGTTCAAAATGCATGACAACTGAGGAGCTTGAAAACATTTTAAGATTGCAGCATGTTGCAACTCATAGTAATGACCCCTACGTAGATGATTACTATCACCAAGCTTGCCTAGCAAAGAAATCTGCTGGATCAAGTCTGAAGCACCATTTCTGCCCAAATCTCACCAAGGATTTGTCTTCTAGAGCGCATTCCAAGGATGAGCCACATGCATATCTCCAGGTTGATGCTCTCGGGCGGCTTTCCTTCTCTTCAATTCGTAGACCTCGTCCTCTTCTTGAAGTTGAAACACAATCAGCATCAGTGGATAACATCCTTGACCAGAAATCTGCTGTAAAACCTCTAGAGGAGGAGCCTATGTTGGCTGCTAGAATCACCATCGAGGATGGCCTCTGCCTTCTACTCAATGTTGATGACATCGATCGCCTATTACAATTCAGCCAGCCACAGGATGGTGGTTCCCAACTTAGGAGGGAAAGAGAAATTCTACTTCAAGAGCTTGCTGCATCACTTCAGCTGGTTGATCCACTTGGCCCTGGTAAATCTGACCACCCCGGGCTGGCACCAAAGGATGATCTTGTGTTTCTTCGCCTAGTCTCTCTGCCAAAGGGCCGGAAGCTTCTTTCGCGGTACCTACAACTTCTTACTCCGAATAGTGAGCTCGTCCGGGTTGTCTGCATGGCTATTTTCCGTCACCTGAGAGTTCTGTTTGGGGTTATGCCATTGGATTCTAGTTCTGCAGAAAGTATAACCAATCTTGCAAAGAATATTTCTTCATGCATACATGGCATGGACATTAGTGCACTCAGTGCTTGTCTAGCTGCTGTGGTTTGTTCTTTGGAGCAGCCACCTCTTCGTCCGCTTGGAAGTTCTGCTGGTGACGGTGCTTCCATCATTATAAAAGCCGTTCTCGATAGGGCGACACAGCTTTTGACGGACCAAAAAAATGCTGGCAATTACAGCATACCTAGCTGTAACCTGTGGCAGGCATCGTTCAATGCCTTTTTCGGGCTTCTCACAAAGTACTGTCTTAGTAAGTATGAAAGTATAATGCAGTCTTTATCCATGCAGTCTGCAAATGCTGCTGTTGCTGGGTCAGAGGTCACCAGAGCTATAAGCAGGGAGATGCCAGTGGAGTTGTTACGAGCTAGTCTTCCTCATACTAATGAGCATCAGCGTAAGCTGTTACTTGATTTTGCTCAGAGAACCATCCCTGCCACCGGGCAGAATGCTCATGGGGGAAGCAACGGGCATTAAACTTCCCAATCACCGCCAGGTCAATGTGTTGCCTGTCACATATACGATGAAGTACCGTTTCATTTGTGATCTGCCATTAAGATACCATTGCCACCTTTGCTCTTTCATTCTGGCCTGAGCAGAAGACAAGTCTGTTGTCTAATGGAAAAAAAAAGAAGGAAAAGACCTGAGCAGATTCGCAAGGTCGTAGTTATGCTTATATTGTTTTAATTTGCACTTTGGCTTTTGTATTTGGAAACATGTAGTCCCTGCCTTCAGATATCACGCCAAGATGCAGTGGGAGATTGACTGGAGGTGTTCTTGTGGGGAGCTTATTTTGGTGCTCCGTATTGCAACTCCAGACATCTTATAGGGATAGGAACTGTACAAATTCCGTGGTTCGAAGCCTTTCTTTACGGGCCGGTCTTCAAGGATCTGGTAGAGCCTGTCTGCAAGATGTAGCATCGTTTTTATTTTGTTTAATTTCTTGTCATGTTGGTTGGCTGAGGGAAAGTTCGTTTTAGCTACGTTGACTGACCTTCAGCAGTAGTTGCTGCTTCTATTATTTTTTTGATGCAACCGCTAGGAGTTCAAATGCTCTTTGGATTTTAATCCTTAATTGTAATGCGACTACAAGATGTTTTAACATTCTGTGTTATTTACTTTTGATTCGTCTCAAACTGCTTTCTTGTTGTGTTCGTTATTTTGGTTCCTGTTCAGTATCATGACGGTGTGATATTTTGATTTGATTTATTGGGGTGTGATGAGTATATTATTATTAATTTAATTTAAATATTTTGATAAATGATTTGAATAAAAATAAATGATTTGAATGAAACGAAGTTGATAGATGGCGATCAGCGGAAATCGACGAGCGCCGAAGGACAGGGCCACCATTATCCAACCTGACAAGGAAAGAACAGTAGAGCAGGAATTGGTACCAGGGGAGCTCCCCGCCCGCGGCTGTGGACGAGGCTGACGGACGAGACCACCATGGAAGCCTAGCGCCTGTCCCGTCGATGGTGGCGGTGGCGGTGCCTCCACTTCACGTCCATTGCTTTTGGTGGGGGAAGTTGGTGGTGCCGGCGATCAATCACGCTCTTTTACTCGATTCCATTATTTGATTCGGCGATCGATCACGTGCTTTCACTCGATTCCATTATTTGATTCGGAGAACGCCAGAGCCATTTCCGATGTCTTTGACGACCGACGGGCGTGGGAAATGGCGAGTGCGGGTGGAAAAAGGAAGCCGAAGTTTTCGCAGGAGGGTAAGGAATTAGGATGCAACGGTTGAGGTGACAGGGAACAGAAGGGAAACGGCAGTCAACCCCAGGGAGGGAAATTTCGTCGGCGGAAGGAGCCTCGCCACAGCGAGAGGATATTGATGAGACCAACACTTTGGGAGGGCGCATCGGAAGTCACCACACGAAGCAGCGCCCTCTTTTTTCTTTTTCCTTTCCGTGTACGAACGACCGACGGACTTCGAATGCTGGACTCACCCGCCGTGTGAAGCCTATTCTTCTCTTGCGTTTTTACGTATTTTCCGACGTGGGTACCGAATGTATATCCACCGTTTCCTTTCAGATGGAGAGACGCACGAGACACTGACAGTTGACGACGCTCGCCATGCACGTAGCATTCATTGCCCGCGGAAGACTCGCTATGGTGGGAGGTCCCACTCCACGTTGTTAGATTTTGCTTCCGTATGTTTCCACCAGGAGCGATAAGAGAAGCAGAATTCAGAATGTTAAATATTTCCAATATTTTACTAATTTTTGTATTATAAAAGTAATAATTATATATATTTATATATTATTTATTTATGTGGATCTCTTTTCGATTGGTTATGGATTCCCTCCGATCTAATATTCGATCTCCCTATGCTTTGCTGCCAAGTGCAAGCTGAGTCAACTATGGACACCGGTGAAAGAGACATTATATACACGTAAAATGGGAGGATTTTTCTTAACAGAACAAGCGATATTTATTTACTCGTATAGTTGAAAAAAATCGTAATGTTGGGAAAATCTTATGTGTGCACTCGAGAGAGGCGAGCTTTTGGGTTGCCGCAATTGTTGACTTCTTGCAAGAACTATAGGGAGGGAGAAAGGAGATTAGATAGGAGGGAAAAAAAAGGAAAAAAGGGCGGGCCCTTTTTATTTCTTCCACCTGGGAGTCTCCGGGTGCTATAAAGCTCCACCCATCCCTTCTCTCTTTTCCCAGATCGACCGGCCCGTGCGCAAAGGCTTGTCAGAACCAAAGTGATGGAGGACTCAGGAGACCTCCCTGCTGGTGAATTCGGCGCACCTCCTCCTCCGCTCCTCCCGGATGCAAAGCCTGGGCGCTGGAGACGTCTGGGCCTGGCCACCATGGTGGTCTCGTCGGTCGGCCTCCTCCACTGCCGCAGGGAGCTCCCCTGGTACCACCAGTTCTTTCTTTACTGTTTTCTGCTTTCAGGTTGGATTCTGGTGGCCCTGTCTGTCGGAGTTCACAACTCCCCTCTCGCCAAGAGGCCCGCCGATCTCCTCGCTTTCTAGCTCGCTCGATTCTTCACCACGCGTGAGCTGCCCGTAGCCGTCCAGCTTTTTATTCCGAAGACAGCGACCTGCCACTCTACTGCTGCTTTTACTTGTGTTGTGTGCTCGCGTTATATATGTATACACCCTGTTGTGGTTCTGATGCTGCTAGTTTTCCCTCCGCCCGAATAAAGATCTGCCGATGTTTTTCTCACTATCTCGTTTGAATCTGCCAAAAAGGAAAGGAAGTGCCTTTTTCTTTCTGTCTTCCTCCCAAGGCATAGAGTAGTCGATGCCGATGTCGAAGCTCCCTTCTCCTTCCCGGTCGTTGGCCGCTAGCTCGCAGACGGCGATGAACTATCGACGTCGTGCGACGCCGGGTAGTCCAAACGTGGCACCCCCTCGTTCGTCGAGAAGTCATCTGCACTTGTTTTACCAAGGAGATAAGCTCGTACACAGACAGAGCAAAAGACATTCGACGAGACCACCAATCATTACGAAGGTCGGTGAAGGGTAAAATAGACATTGCACCAACGGGGAACTAGAAAAAACCGCCATGTATATCCATCGTTCTCTCTCCATCTACCTCGGTCTGTGATCTGGTCTTCCCCGGCCTCGCTTTGCCTCAAAATGACCACCTATCCTCCGGCGATCTCCTATTCCACTTCACCTCGGCCATCTTACTTGCTCTATGGGGTGCACGAATGGGCTCGTCATGTTCGCATGATGATCTTCCCAGCCGAAGCTGCTTCTCCGCCCAAATTTTAGAGCGAATTAAAGAGGGGCGAGAGGAAGCGAGGTCGCGGCGCTCCTCCTCCTCGCTGCCCTTCTTTATCTGGTTGGAGAGAGAAACAGCGAGCCGTCGACGGATGGAGAGATCGTGTTTTGAGTTTCTCGTTGCGAAAAATGATTCCACGATGATGGACGAGACAGGGAGCCGCCGCTCGGCGAGAAGGAAGGGTCTTCGATTCGACGGCGACCGGACGAGACCAAGGAGGTAGCAGGCGAGACCTGATGCGGTCTGGGATGCCAGCCGGATCCGTTGACGGATCCCAAGATGATGCTGGGTAGGTGTCGGATCTTATCCGACTAAAAATTAATGTCACGATCCGAATCTGATGGACTAATTGGGCAATTAGTACACTCATCAGACCAAAATCGTAACTCCGATGAACGGTGATCAGGAAAACAATTTTTCCTCTAAACCGTACCTACGACTTGCTCTCTCTCTCTCTCTCTCTCTCTGTCGACCATCTCGGGTCCACCCCGGGGCCGACCCTTAGATTCGTTCATGGTGGACGCCAGCTGGGGGGGGTTCGACGAAGAGGGAAAACCAGCGAGGCATACGAGAAGAGACGGGCACGACGGCATGGGTTGCGTTCCCGTCTCTCAGTCAGGCATTCCATTCTCCCTCCCCGTGACTTTTCTACGTTTCACTCTAAGCGTCATATATCGCGAGTGTCGCACATCCGTCGCGCGCACCGCACGGCGCAGCGCGATGTGGGTGGTTGTTGCTCACGCGGAAGCATGGCGTTTTGCGGTGTTAATTGTTTCTGTTTAGTTAATATACATGAATGTATAATGGTCAACGACGCCTTCTGATAGGCCGCAGACCTTAAAGCACTTGTGACGGATCAAAGAAGATCCGCGAACCCAACTCGTCCTTGGGTTGCTTCAGGGATAAGCCTCTGCGATTCTCCAAGTCGGATCACCAGAGCTTTTGATCGAGTCGTTGACTCGGCCCTCCCTGGGGTGGCGCGGCGTCTACTCCCTCGCTCACTTCTCCTTGGAACGGCGATTCGGCAACGCCTCATCGCTGCCGCTCGATGGCCCTGCGAACTGCGACGCACGACCGTGACTGTAAACGTTGAGCAGGATCGACGCCATGGATCACCAACGAAGGAACATAAGCTCCGGATTCACAGAATTTGGCATTCGAAGCAGAAACAATGTGTTTGGTGTTCCGAATCACTCGATCTCGCACCAGATATAAACTCAAAAGCAGAGGGAAGTTTGGAGTTCAACCATGGACAAAAAATATCTGAAAAGTCTCGCAGGTGCTATCTATAATTTTTGGTCGAAGAGGAACACTCCGAGATGAGTTGCAGAAGCAGAGCAGAGCAGGACAGGCTCACAGATACTTAAAGCAGTGATACTATATTCCAAGATCGTATGACAGCACCATCGTATCCATGGAAACGAGTAGTGTTTTGCACAATGCGACTTGGAATGATGTGCAAAATATGAATGGAATAATACTGAGTGCATAATAGAAGCTTTATACGAAACTGTAGGAACGCGTGATCAACAAATGTAATACCCACTTAATATCTCAAACAAAAGAGTTGTACGTTACCGTGGTGTTAGATGACGCTACCGTCGTGCTAGATGACGTTTCCGTGGTGTTAGATGACATCAGTGGGCGGAACACGAGAAAGAACGGGATCATTTCATAAAAAATGCACCTGTTTTATTGGACGCACGAAACAGAGAGATTACAGAGAAAGGGAATCATACAGTTTTAGGCATCACCAACATGCAATCATCTACATCCAAGAAACAAGCAACTAAACTAAAGCAGAAGCAAGACGAAGAGGAAGATGAAGTGTGGTCTACAGGGCTCGATTCTCCATTCGCAGGTATCCAGCAATACGAGTCGCCATGAAAGTCACCCCCCTGGCTGCCGCTGGAGGAAGCAAGTGATGCACAAAGGACGCGGTCAAAAGGATGAGACTCACCTGTGCGACGGCGTAGAAGATGAATTGGAGTGCGAGATCATGGACTTGATGGCCTGGCGACGATGAATTCGACGACTGCAGGGTCAGTACGCCCGCTGCGAGCATCAGCATGTTGAAGCTGGCGCAGGCCACGAATCTGTTCATGGCGGAGACGGGGACGGGGACGGGGACGGAGAGGGGAGGAAGAGGTGGAGGTGGTGATGGTGAGGTGGGGGTTAGCCTCGCGGGTCTCAAATACCGAACATCAAACGTGATCGGCCGTCCGGGTCACCAATGGCCGTTGGATGGTTTGTGTTTGGGGCACATTCAATGGTGATGCGATGACGCGCAACGCCAAACCACAGTGGCAAGGCAAGAAAAGGGTCCACGCAGAGCGCGAAGCTCTGCTTTCGATCCGAGCCGACAATGGCAAAGTTACACTGTTAT